GTGTGTGTGCGTGTGTGTGTGTGTGTGCAGAAACCTGAGCGACGTGTTCAGTGATGTGAAGGACCTGGTTCTGCAGGACATCGACCGTTACTTCACCTCCTCTGACTGCCGGCAGTTCAACCGCTCCGAGTCTCTCAGGTGAGTCTGACTGTGTTAGGATCTCCACGCTCGCGCTGTGGCTCACGCTGATGTGAGGAGCTGCAGCTGTATTTAAACCTTCCTGCTTCTGTTTCTTTGCTTCTTCTGAATCTTGCAGGCTGGCGGACGAGCTGAGAGGATGGGTCCATCGACACCAGATCGATCGCAAGAAGTCCGGAAAGCCGAAGATGGCCAAGAAGGCCAAAGTCGCCCAGGTGAGGAGTCGTCTTCATCTCCCAGAGTTTTAATCCTTTAATGGAGAACAGTAGTTGGTCTTCAGCTCACTGGGATCTGTGGTTTGTGTCACTTGTCTCGTTCTGCAGCAGAAAGCTCAGCAGAGGAAAACCAACTTCTCCAGATATCTGCCGATCCAGACTCACCGCTCCATAGAAAGGTACGACGCGCTCTTCATCGCCGAGCGCAGACCTGCTGATGGTGCAGCAGTCAGCCTCAGCAAGTCAGACAGGAAGTGACATACATGACCATCGTTTAAAGACTCTTTAAAAACATCCAAAGCTTAAATCGCTGAATGTTTCTGTGCTGCTGAAACTCAGTTATAAAATATTTGTGCTGATTGTTTAAAAAAGCTGGGATAGGCTCCAGCGCCCCCCCGCGACCCTGAAAAGGATAAGCGGAAACGAATGGATGGATGGATGTTTAAAAAAACAACTTTTATTATAACGTGAGCTCATTTCAGCTGAGAGATATTTTTGCTGTGTTGTTGCATTAATGTTGGTTACTGTCCAGCCTGATGAGTCTCTCCCTGCTGCAGTCAGCTGCAGGTGCTTCCTGGTCCTGAGGTCACCTACAGCGACTTCCTGGACGCCATCGACCGCAGAGAGGACACGTTCTACGTGGTCTCGTTCAGACGGGTATGAC